AGCAAGGAATAAGCGCTGAGCATCGCTGGGTGTGACCCAAAAAGCAAAAAGCAAATAAATAAATAAATAAATAAATAAAATAAGAGTAAAGGGTGAATGGAGAAGGAAGCTACAGCCCATAGACACAATGGAAGCCTCGAGAAAAACACAGGCATGCGTGCAGGTCGAGGCGATGGAATTGGAGGGTCTGATGCTAAGTGAAATAAGCCGGAGGGTGAAGGACGCATACGGATGAGCTCACTCACCTGTGGTACATCGAGAATGAACCAAGGGTGTAGAGACTCACTCAATATTAAACCGTGGGGGCTGGAGCAACAGTACAGTGGGTAGAGCGTTTGCCTTGCAAGCAGCTGACTCTGGTTCTATCCCGGGCTGCCCATGTGGTCCTCCGAGCCCTGCCAGGAGTGATCCCTGAGCCAGGAGTGGCTGTTAAGCATCACTGGGTGTGGCCCTGAAGAGTATTAAACTCCGATACTAGAATACAGGCCCGAAAGTGCAAGGGATGTTTTTTTTTTTTTTGGAGGGTGGGGGGAGGAGGAGGAGGGGAACAGGGGACACAGGAGGAGGGGCTGGAGTGCATGGGTGGTGCTGAGGGAGGGAACAGTCTACACCAGATCCTCCAACTGTCAATCAACAAACAAATGTATACTATGGGGAAGGAAGGAAATGTCAGACGGGGAAGGCGTTGGGATGGGGAGCCTCAAGGACACTTTGGGGTGTTGGGGGTGCAGTGACTTCCTACATCAACTCTCTAACACCGCCCCCCCCCAAACTTGCACTTTTAGGTCTGTATTCTAGTATCCAAGTTTAATGTGTTGGGGGTCACACCCAGTGGTACTTAGCCTTTGCACAGGTGGGGTGCTGGTGAGTGTCCCCAGCCTGGCAGCCCAGAAGAAGTGTTTTTTCCGGCCTGCACCTGATGTTGACCTTGACCTTGGCATGCAGCAGCTGTAAAAGCAGCACCTGGTTCGGGCTGCCCGAGTTCCTCCCGGAGCAAACATCTCAGGACTTTATGAATCAGAGGCAGAAATCATTAGGGCTGGCACCGGATATTCGGGTGCATGAGGGAGACGGTGGCGGGGACCTGACTCATGCCAAGTCCTCTGAAGAGGAAGTTTAACCTCTACAAGGAGCAAAGGGTGCGGGTCTGTAAGTGTCAGACATGGGATTGACATTGGTTTAATTTTTTAAATCCAGCCTGATCTAAATCGGACTGGGAACAGAGACTGGATTTGGAGGAGAGCTGACAAAAGTATCCACATTATCTTTTTTATTTTGCATGCACTTTGGATTTGTAACATCATATATTTGATACACATAATGTATGAATGACAGTTACAATGTATACTATGCATATATAACACTGTATATAACACTGTATAGAATATATCCACGTATATCTGTTTTTTAGTTTTGGTTTTATTTATTTATTTTTTTTGCTTTTCGGGTCACACCCAGTGATGCACAGGGGTTACTCCTGGCTCTGCACTCAGCAATTACTCCTTGGTGGTGCTCAGGGGATCATATGGGATGCCAGGGATCGAACCCCGGTCGGCTGCATGCAAGGCAAATGCCCTACCCTCTGTGCTATCACTCCAGCAACCCCCCCCACACACAATGTATATCTATTTGTAAGTGACAAAGCATAAAACTATTTGGGGGGGGGGGGGTTGGGGCCACACTGGGCAGTGCTCAGGGCTTAGTCCTCGCTCTGCACTCAGAGATCACTCCTGGCAGTGCTCAGGGGACCCTATGAGATACAGGAATCAAACCTGGGTGGATTGCATACAAGGCAAGCACTGTACTGTATCTCCCAAGTGCCTAAAAATCTTTCTCAATAGCGCCTCCCATTCAGCAGACGAGACGGAGCACTGTGAGCCCAGCCTGTTCTCTCTCCCGGCCTGGCCCCCTTTGCGGCCAGAGCTTCCCCCCAAAGTTGCGTTCTCTTTCCTGGCTTGCTCACCTCGAGTGGGTCAGACTGGTGAATAGATTCCATGGATGAGACCCATGTCCTCAGAAAGAATCTCAAGGCCAATCCTGTCCCACCTGTCCCCCAGACCCTCTCCCAGTGCTCTCTGGCCGCTGCCCTCAAGGAAGCCCTTCACTCAGCAGCCACGCCAGCTTTCTGCCCTCAGAACACACTTCTCACATGCCACTGGTCCTCCAAAGTTGCTGGTGCCAACAGAGGCGCATGGGCAGACGAGACGGAGCATTGTTGGATTGCAAGCTTCCTAGTAATACCCCCCGCCAGCACCTCCTGCAAGCAGACCCCAGCTGAAAGCCCTGATTCTCATAGGACCCCTGCAGGGAAGGTAGGGGTCCCTTATCTCTACTGGGGAGGTTCCAGCCGCCAGGATGGTCCCCCACCTGAATCTTGCCCACCCCCCAGCACATCACCCCTAAAGTTTGATTAAAGCAAGATTCCCCAGGACTGGAGCGACAGCACAGCAGGTAGGGCGTTTGCCTTGCACTCAGCCAACCCAGGTTCGATTCCCAGCATCCCATATGGTTCCCCGAGCACCACCAGGAGTAATTCCTGAGTTCATGAACCAGGAGTAACCCCTGTGCATCGCTGGGTGTGACCCAAAAAGCAAATAAAATAAAAATAAAGTGAGATTCTCAGGGAGGAACAGACATTCCCCTAACCTCCACCTGTGCAGCCCAAACTCCCTCCATGGTGGCCCAAAGGGGGTGATTCACTGACATTACAGGGGGAGTAAAAATGGCTGGACCCCAGCGGACCCCCTCTTCCCTGCTGGGGAAGATGGTTTTCCCAAGGAGAAGGCTTCCAATGGGAGCACTGTCCTTGGCTAGCGCCAGGTCTGCTGTTTGGGGATGAGCATTGGGTCCAAAGTGCGGGTTCCATTCCGGTTCCAATCTGTGTCCCCCCACATGGGTGGGCAGAGGCCTTTCCTACTCACCACTGCAGCAGGTGACAGACAGGAAACCCACAGGACTGGGTGCCCCCAAGCCCCTCCCACATCTCCAGGACCAGCTTTCAGAGCTAACAGCGCCCCCTCCATACACACTCTGGGGGGCATCCAGGCAGAGAGGGAGGGCAGAGGCAGAGCTAAGGGGAGAGGGGTATGGGTGTCCCTCAGTCCCTACCAAATCCACCTTGGGACAGTGGCTCCCCTGGGCCACCTCTGGCACTCCTGAAACACAGCTCACAAGTTTCATGAAAGTTACATACACAAACACACACACACACACACACAGTTGTGGGGTTAGGGTACCCCCGTCCTGAGGAATTAAACTGAAGAGCCACAGTAAAAGGCAGAACGGGACACTGGAGCACAGACATCCCCATTTCTTAGATCTGGGCCACGCAAGGCCCTGATAGGGGTCCAGGTGCTTTGGAGGTACCAAATCTCATCTCCCCAGCATGAAGGACACCCGTAGCCAAACCAGACCCCAGCAGTTCAGGGCCCGCATTAGCAAGCGGAGGGCACAACCAATCCGGGGCAGGCAGGAGGCAGCCTGAGAAAACACAGGGCACCCCTGCTAGATGGGTGTTCCCGGACTGGGCAGAGCTTAAACTCACCCCAAAGGGGCCAGCAAGATGCCTCACATGGGCGACCCCCAGATTTGGTCCTGAGTACCCCAAGAAGCTCTGCAGAGTGGGATCCTCAAACAGAAACAGCCACTCTGAAGGGGGCAGCGTGCACCCTCAGATGGGTCCCCCCATTCTAGAGGCGACCCCAGCGCCCCGCCCAGGGACCCCAGCACCAAGCTAGTTCCAGAAATAAAACTGCCCTGCCCACACTCCACCTGCCCGCAGTGGGGGCCCTCCAGCTGACACGGGCCCCTGGGGCCAGCAGGCGGGGCACAGCTGTAGTGGCGCCCCAGGGCTGTCCTGCCTGAAGAATGCAGAGACCACATGTCCACACGTGTCACGGAGCCCCGCAGGGGGCCGGTCACCTGACTGGAGCAGAACCGGCCCAAGGCATGGGGCGCCCCCACTCCCAGCTCTGGGTGGAGGGGAGAGCCTGGAGAACTGGACAGACCCCCAAGCGCCCCCACCCTCCAGGACGGAAGTGAGGGTGGTCCCAGAGCAGCTCGGAAAGGCAGTGGTGTGGTCCCCCTTTTTCTGGGAGAAGTCACTCTGGGCTGTGTCTCCACCCACGTGGGATGCTCATGGTCCCCAGGGGCGCTGTGGGCTCCCCCACAGCAAGTCCCGCCCTGGAAGGCCCCTCATTAATTCCAGAAGGAAACGGAAACGAAGCCCTAGAGGTGAGTTCCCAGAACTCTGGGGGCCAAATTAATAAAGCAGCGATTAATATTCCTGATCATTCCCCCCACCCCATAGGTCCCCCCACCACCACTTAGAGGTGGGAGGAGTCAGGTGTTGCAGGAGTCAGCAGAGCTGGGGGCGGGGTCTCCCACTGTCCCCGGGGTCACAGCAGCAGGTCCCTGTTTGGGATGGGGTGCGAGACCCGCAGGGGCGCCAGCACCCATCAGGGGCGCTGCAGGGGACCTCTGCCATCACTCCCCCTCTTCCATGGCCATGCAGGCATGGGGCTCCGGGAGGCTGGGCAGTGTGGGAACGAAGCCCACCCGCCCGCCAGGGACGACGTGTCCCCGCCGCGGCCCCGCTGGGCTCTGGGCCCCACCGAGTCCTGCGCGAGCGCGCGCGCGCGGGTTGGGGACGCGGCGACACGCGGCGGCCGCGGTGACAGGTCGGCTGGCCCGGGAGGCGGAGCGGCGCGCGGGGCGGGCGAGGGACAGGAGCCGCTGCCCCGGGGCTGCTGGGGGGGCTTCCTGGCCGGGGGGGGGGCGAGCCCCCAGGCCCCGGGGTGGCGGGGCGCGAAGTCGGGGCGCTGTCGCCGGCGGCGGAGGACGGTTGGTTCAAACTAAAAATACCCGCCCGCCCGCAGCTGTCACTCGGGTCCCCCGCCCCCGGCGCGCCTCCCCGGGGCCCCCCGCGACTCCGGGCGCCCCCGATCCCCGCGGGGCCCACAGCGGCCCTGGGCCCGGCGCCCCGGGGCCCGCGCACTTACCGGCGGGCAGCTCCGAGCCGGGTGCTCGCCCTCGCCGCGTCCCGGGCGGCTCGGCGGGGCGGGCGGGCGCGGGGCGGGGCCGGGACAGTCGCCGCGTCCCCGCCCCGCCCCACCCCGGCCAGTCCCGTCCCTCGGCAGCTGCCGCCCGGGGGCCCCGCCACGGCCAGCGCCCCGCGCGCCCCGCCACCCCGCGCCCGGCGCCCCGCCGCGCTCGCACCCGCGTCCCCCGGGAAAGTTGGCGCTGGGCGCGCGCCCGGGACCCCGGGGAGGGGGGCTGCGGGCTGGGCCTCCCCCTCTAAGCCCGGTGCCCGCCCGGGCCAGGGCCGCTCCCTCCTCTGCCGCGGGCGCCAGATCCACGGAGGAAGTGACACCGCGACATTGGGGGCGCCCCATCCGGTCCCTGCCACCCGCCTCCCCGGAGCCTCCGAGCACTCGAGCTTGAGCATCCCGGCTGGGGCTGCGAGGGGAATCCCCGGGGGGTGGGGCGGGGCGAGGGAGGCGAACCCCCACCCTCCACCGGCACCGCCCACAAACCCAAGGCTGCCCCACGCGGCTGTCCCCTCCCTCAGCACCCGGCCACCGCCGGCGCGTCCTCCCCGGGAAGCCAGCCCGGGTTCAAATCCTGCCCCGCAGCGCAAAGTCTGACTCTTATCTGCGGCGCGCCCGCCCCGAGCGCCGGGAGCGCCCAGCATTTAGGGCGCCGGGCTGACCTCCGTTCCAGCCCGGGTCGCCCCCCGCCGTGCAAGTCACTACTTGGCTGGCGTGCTTGCGACAGGAAGAGAGAGGGACAGGGGGAAAGTAAGGGGGAGACGTCTCTGTGCCCCGCAGCCGGCCCTGCCCGGCGCGGGGCTCGGCCCGCCTTGCAGATGGGAAGAGTGAGGCCAGGCCGGGTATGAGCTCAGGAGAAAGGGCCCAAGATCGCAGGGCTGCGGTTTCCTCTTTCCTCCTAAAGAGGCCCGCGGGCCCTCCTCCCAGGCTCAGTAAAGCCGCGGGAAGTGTCCTGAGCAGAAAGTAAGTTATAAAACTGGAGCTGAGAGAGGAGACACTGACCTGACATGCAGTGACTCGGGTTCGAAGCCTCAACACGGGGTATGGTCCCCTGAGACCGCTAGGGGTCACTCCCAAGCACAGAGCCCTTCTGTGTGGCCAATTCCCCCTTCACCACCCCCTCCCCCCAACACCCATTTTGTGTGTGTGTGTGTGTGTGTGTGTGTGTGTGTGTGTGTGTGTGTGTGCAGAGCAGGGAAGCCGGGTGTGAATAAAGATGTCAGCGTCAGCGCGTCTCCTTTCAGAACACAGTTCCGAAGCTATAATTATTCTCAGGTCAGAGCAGGGAGATACTCCCAAGGGCCACTCCCCCACCTTTCCTCCGATGGCTCCAGAGGCCCCATTAACGTCCTGACTCATCACAGGTGCCGCTGACAGATGTGCGCAGTGAGATAGCCATTAGAAATGATTACACTGCTCGGCCCTTCCTTTATTGTTCGGGGGCCACACCCAATGATGCTCAGGAGTTACTCTAACTCTGCACTTAGGAATCCCTCCTGGCAGTGCTCAGTGGGGACCCTATGGACTGGGGGGTGAACCCAGGTCAGCCACATGCAAGGCAAGCAGCTTACGGGGCCGCGCTATCTCTCCTGCCCTATGATACTGCATTGCCATAGAGCTCTTCCAATGCTTTCATATGCCCCTCCCTAAATCTCTGCAAAAACTCTCCAGCCAGGAAAGGCTTACTCAGGTAAACTTACTAAGGAAACTACGGCACGAAGCATGTCAGCTAATTGGCTCAATGAGAAGCCACTGGGCAGACCAGGGACTTCAGCTGGCTGCAATTGCAGATTCGCAACCAGGGGTTGAGTTCCAGTTCTCACAGAGAAATGGCTCCCTGGGCTGGTGCACATGCTTCGCACGCTGGGATCCTGGTTCAAGCCAGGCCCTGCCTGGTCGCCAAACACCATCACTGTGAATGACCCCAAACACTGAGCTTGGAGAGCACCATGGGTGTGACTCCCAAGGTCAAATGAATGAAAAGGTGAATGGATAATAGGGATCTATTTTTTTTTTTTTTACCGTTTTACTCACAGACACAGTAACAACAAAGTCTCCAATGGAGACTTAACTGGGCCCGCTCAAGCAAATCGATGAACAATGGGAGGGCCTTTACCTTTTTTTTACTCACTTGATCACTTGACTTCCCGTTAATCATCGATTTGCTCGAGCCGGTACCAGTAACGTCTCCATTTGTCCCTGTCGCGTGCTAGAGTAGCCCAATGGCGTCTGTTCGTTCTAGGAACACGAAAAGCCTCAAACTGATTGTTCAGGGTCTTGACAAAGAAGTCTGACCATCTGGTAGGTGGGTGGCCATGCGGTCTTTTGACATCCTGTGGAATCCAGTCGGTAACGGCTCTAGTCCAGCGGTCGTCTCCAAATCTCATTACGTGTCCAGCCCATCTGATTTTCGACGCCTTGGCAAACGAGCCAGCATCCCTGATTCTTGACCATCGACGGAGGTCGGAACTCCGGATTCTTTCTCTCATTTGAGTGAAACGTGATACTCCAAGCATATTGTTGTTTTACTGTTTAACAGCATAATTACTGTTTTACTATTATATATATTTTAATTTTTATTAGTGAAACACCATGAGGTACAGTTGTAGACTTACAAATTTTTGTGCTAGGGTTTCAGTTATACAATGATCAAATACCCATCCCTCCACCAGTGCCCATTCTCCACCATCACTAATCCCAGTATCCCTTAAACTGTATGTGATATCCACCCACCCACCCCCCATCCCACTATACCTCTGTGGCAGGGCATTCCCTTTTGTTAGCTCTCTCCTTTTAGGTGCTGTGGTTTGCAAAAGAGAATTGAATGGTAATCATGTTCGGTCTATAGTCGACTTTCAGCATGCATCTCCCATCCTGGGCGGATCTTCTACTAGGGATCTATCTTCTTGTTTTATTTTGTTTGAACCCAAGGCAGCAGGGTATGAGGCGAAGGCCCCTGTGCTGTGCTCTCCCTCGGACCCTCGTAGGGGCCTCTCTTGTACGGCTTTTTGCCTGGCCCTCTGATGGGACCACTACGTCTCTTCAGCATCATCAGATGTGTGTGAGCGCCTGCCGTGTGCATGTCGCTGGGAGTATGAGGAAGCATGAGGCCCAGAACACCGGCTCCAAGGAGGCCACACTGCCGGGATTCTGGGCTCCATGACAATTCCTAATTCCTGGGAAATCCTAGAAAGGTGGAGGAGATAAGGCAGTTCGTGTCGGGAAGTTATAAAACTAAAGAAAATATGATTTCAAAGGGAGTTAGCCTGCCCCACCCCACCCTGGAGTTGGGAGGACATGGAAGAGGGCACCTGCCTTGCATGTGGTCTCTCCAGGCTCAATTCCTGGCACCTTATAGGTTCCCTGAGGCTGCCAGAAGTAATTTCTGGGTGCAGAGCCATGAGTAACCCCTGAGTGTGCCAGAGAGAGAGAGAGAGAGAGAGCAAATTCAGAAGGAACAGAGGCACTAAACAGAGACCTCCAAGGTTCAAAGTCCTTGACAATGCCTTAGCAGTGACTCTTTTTGTTTATTTATTTATTTTTTTTAGGTCACACCTTAGGACTTAGTTCTGCCCTGCATTCAGGCAGAGCTTGGGAAACCATATGGGATGCTAGGGATCGAACCCAGGTCCGCGGCATACAAGGCAAGTGCCCTCCCCGCTGTACTATCGCTCTGGCACCATGCGCCCCAGACTCAGGCAGCAGGAAACGGTCTTACAATCAGCTTTCCAAAGCGACTATGCACCCGTTCTGCGTTCACCAACACATTCAACTCAGGGAATGTTGTTTTTTGGGGGGGATCACACCCAGCCAGCCATGTTCAGTCCTCACTCCTGACTCTGTAACTCAGGAATTCCTCCTGGCAGTGCTCAGGAGACCATATGGGGTGCCAGGGATCGAACCCAGGTCTGCTGCATACAAGGCAAACGCCCTCCCTGCTGTATAATCTGTCCTGCCCCAGCTGTCTTGTTTCTTGACATTTACTTTCTCATTTCTCGCTTTCCTCACTCACATTTCTTTTCTTTTTTCTTTTCTTTTCTCTTCTTTTCTTTTCTTTTCTTCTCTGCTTTTTGGGTCATACCTGGTGATGCACAGGGGTTACTTTCTGCACTCAGGAATTACTTCTGGCAATGCTTGGGGGACCATATGGGATGCTGGGAATTGAACCCAGGTCGGCCGCATGCAAGACAAATGCCCCACCTGCTGTGCTACCACTCCAACCCCTCACTCACATTTTTTTTCATTTTTTATAATTTTATTTATTGAATCACCATGAGAGCAGTTACAAAGCTTTAGGGTCTAAGTCTCGGTCATACAATGAAACACCCATACCTTCACCAGTGCCCACGATCCACCACCAAAATCCCCAGCATACCCCCATCCCACACCCTCCCCCTACCTCTGTGGGACAGATAATTTCCAAATTGCTCTCTCTCCACTTTGATCACATTTAATATTTCATCACCAGACCCACCATTATTATTTGAGATTTTACCCCAACACTCAGATCTGCTGAAAAGGCAACAATAGAAAATTTGTGTTCTATTGCTGGTTATGAATGACATATGATGTCGCGTGGCTGCAGTAGGGCCATGTGATTTTGAAATTCTGAAATTTTAACACTTAAACGTGGAGAGATTTCTGCCAAAAGCCACTGGGTTTCGAGATTTGCTCCTGAGTCTCTAGGATCATGGCCGTTGAGCAGCTTGATCAGGAGCCAGAGAGGCCGTTTGTGGGCAATGACTTGGGGTCTCGTTGGGACGGGGAGACCAGGACCGGCTCCACCCCCATCCTGACCTCACTCACATTTCCTAAATTAAACTTTCTCTCAGACAACGGGCCTAGAAGAGGGGGCCTGACTTTTCCTTTTCCTGGAAGCGCGTGGCTCTCAGCTTGAGCGTCACCATTCCCAGATATCTGCGTAGCGGGAACCAGCTCCTGGCTCTACAGATCTCGTGGGTCTGCACACAGCTTTTGTGAGGC